TAGAAGTAAATGCTCAAGTGAGCAAAGATGAAAATAGCGTGAAATATAAATGCAAAAAGTAAATGGTACATAAAGCATAAAAAATAAAAGCATAAAGTAAATCAATTGTTAGAAATTAGTGGTTAGTTGGATGACCATCTTGAAACTTGCATTTGGAACTCATTAGAGGATTGGTAGAACCAAAGCCTCCACACAACAAGTTGCATTTGCTTTTTGTCAAGTATATTATCCATTTTGGAATCCTCAAAAATAACATTTAATGATCAACGATGTTTAAGTGATCCGCGTTGACCAAAGGTGTTGTGGATCCATTAGAGGATTGGTAGAACTAAAGCCTCCACACAATGAATCTCAAGGTTATTGGATCAAAGAGATAAAATTAACATACTTGGGCTTGCAATCATAAGTTTGGGCCACGAATGATTATTTATTCAAATCGGGATAAAATTTAGCGCTATGTTAAGCAATCGTAAGTGGACTTATGTAGAAGTCACACCTATTTTGAGGCCGGTCAATAGCAATCTATGTACTTCATGTTTGGATAAATGATATAGAGATCACCATCCCTTAACATGTAGTACAATTACAAAAAAGAAATGGATAAGATGAAGAGGGAGGGGAATGATAAGCTAATTTGGATTACCACCTCAAAATTCTTTCATCTTTAAATTCAACCACTCATCTAGATGGATTAAAGCACTAAACATATCATTAATCCAAAGCACCAAAAATGAATTAAATAATTCACTCTTAGGTAGATTTGAATTGATGAACATTTATCCAACTTCATCTACATCACAAAGTCCATTGAGTTTAAAGAGAAATTGGACATTTAAATTGCGATTCAAACCAACAATCAAAAGGAGTGAGTAGAAAAAGCATTTTGGATCAAAGCTGCCCCAAAATAAGGCAAAAAATGCATTTTGTCCCTGCGTAAATCGATTGCACTACTGTGTAAATCGATTTACACAGTACAGTTTTCAAAAATCTGCGTGAAATTGCTTATGTGCAATCGATTACGCTGTTACTGCAATTGATTGCACACTGTTACAGGCATCAAAACAGCATTTTAAAAGGCCAAATTCTTGTTTAAACTTTCCATCAAATACCTTATGATCATGGATCCAATTGAGCACGAAAATTCCATCAAATTATGAGAAAATAATACCATTGAAATCACAAAATAATGCTCAAATAATCAAACCCAAAGATCAACAAGAGATCACATTGTGAAAGATGAATTATCCAACTTACCAAAGGTAGATCTAGAGAATTATCAAAACAACTTCAAGAATTTGCTTCAATTTAACCACAAGAATCAATTGCTCAAGCTTGGATGTAGAGAATTGATAAATAAAAAGTGTTTGGGTGAAGGTTTAGCTCAAAGATTAGTAAGCTTCAATGCAAAGCTTACTACCTTTTTGAAAATGGAGCTTTGAGTGAATTTAGTAGATGGAGAGAATTGAGAGATTTTTTAGCAAGGTGGATTTAGCTATCAAAAGCTTGAAATTTGAATGAAATGAGGGCTCTATTTATAGAGTTTAGGATTGGGATTAGTGGTAATTTGATAATTGATTCTTGGAGTCAAAATTTGAATTAATGATAATTCTTTCAAAAATTAGAGCTAAATTGGAGCCAAAAATTTGACAAGCTTGAAATGCTGATTTTTTTTTTTTAAATTTTCACGCTGTGCAATCGATTGCACTATAGTGCAAATCGATTTGCACAGTGTATTTTTTTCAAAAATGGTGCAAAATGCACTTTGTGCAATCAATTGCACTCTAGGAGCAATCGATTGTACAGTGGAAAAAAATGAAATTTTTTTAATTCTTTTTCTTTGCAAATAGAGATCTTAGGGAAATAACACCGGAAAACCTTATTTGCCATATGCTTCGACTCGGTACCTGCAAAACACAAATATGCAAAGACAAAGACAAATATTTTTTGTATTTTGATTAGAAGTTAGTCAATAACACAAGAGCAAACTTAAAGATATGATGCAAATGTGATGAATGAAGCTATTTATTAATGATTGTGACTGAATGACAAAATATGGTATGAAAGTGCGAATGAAAAAGTTAGGGGCAAAATTTAGGGTACAACACTAACCTCACTATCTCTAATTCCCTTATTAGATTATTATTATTATTATTATTATTATTATTATTATTATTATTATTATTATTATTATTATTATTATTATTATTATTATTATTATTATTATTATTATTATTATTATTATTATTATTCCAACTAAATAAAACAATTAAAATAAAAACTAAATAATTATTTTAACCATATTATTATATTATTATTTAATCCATTTAAATCTAATTAAAAAAATACTAGTAACAAGATTCTCTCACACCACCCATTTGTTTCTACTTTTTTACTCGGACTCTACCAACACCTCTATTTCTAATTTTAAAGGTTATCACCCTACACCGAAGGACCCCCAAACACATCCAAACACCGAATATCACACAACATCACACAAATCAATTACGAATAATTAATTAAAATAATCTGGGGTATTCTACCTAGGGGTTGAACATTTCGACCCAAGTTATTAACAACCGATCCCGACCCTTGCAATGACAAATATGCACTCACCAATGGATCAGAAAATGTTGACGCACTATTATGCAAACTTGCAATCACTAAAGTTGACATGTCGTATGGCTGTTCACGATCATTCATTGACATTGTATGTCTAAGCACATAAGGCCTAAAATTACCAGTTCCCACTGGTCTTGGGGTCACTAGTTGACCCTATATTCTTGCAGGGGATAATATTGGTCCGCGTTTAGCGTTCGACGTATGGTCGTCGTACTCATCGTAGAGGGTATTACTTCGCTCACAATCGTTGTGGCCGTATTTTCTCCTGTCGAATGAGGGGGTTGTTCTCCATTGTTACTTGGTGGGTTCACCATCCTTCTAACATATTTTCTGTTTAGTAATGGTTCGTTATTTCTGACTATCCTGCCACTCCTCAATCTTAAGCAATGAAGTTTGAGAAACCTATGTATGAAGAACTTAAATGTAGAAAAAATTTCAAAATGACTAAGCACAAGAGTCCCACTGGGCATGTCAATTTGTTTGCCTTAGATTTTGGTAAACAACCACTGGTCTTCCAAAATTGATACTTTTATTACTTACATTATCGACTAGATTGATCCTAGAACATATGTGCCTAGTTTTGTTAGTTTTTCTTGGTAATGAACCCTTCGCCACTACTAAAGATCTTTAAAGTAATGTAAAGACGATTTATAATGTAAACTTAAAAATAGTTATGACTAAAACTTAAATAGAATCAAAATAACATTAATGTAAACAATTTGACAATGAAAGTAAATATCGTGATTCATACATACATGTTACTCATTAAACTCTTTTCTCAACACACTTAGATACTTTGAGTGATTTTGAGTTTGGTACAATTGAACACCCTGAATCCTAACACTAAGATCTCTATTTATACTACTTTGATAGTAAATGTAATGAACAATCTTCTCTCCATAGAATGATACTTTCTCACTTGCATGAACTTCGTCCCTTACAGGCTTCCACGCGTCCTTGTAAGAAAAAGGATAAGGCCAAAAAGCAATTATCAGTCTTATTTCAAATTAACTCGTCAAACTCGCTTTCGAACCAAATTTCAAATATCCTAAGTCCCAAATAAATCATTCTGAAGGCATGGAACTCTTTCGTTGAATTCCGGTCGAAGTCCTCATCAAAACTTCCTAGTCGAAGTCAATTAACTTTCTCCAAAATACTTCCTTCCACTTTGTTTTATACTTCAAATTCTCGGAAGCGTTGAATTGCTAGCTAACAACGAATTACTTCACCTATAAAATAAATAAAATATTAAAATATTAATTTATTATATTATTGAAACAATAAAATAAATTTTATTTTAAAAAATATATTTTTTAGTACTCCCTCGTTCTATTTCAAGCATGGTTAGAAGAAGAAGTCTTTGCTTGAATTACCACATGTACCATAAGCTTCTTTTAAACCCTCATAGAGTAACTAAAACCATTGTTATTTATGTTGTATATTCCAACAATTCCCGTGAGTTACTTGGGAAAATAAGACATACTTGGCGTGTTGAAATAGTGTGATGAGCAATGTTTTTCCCCCGATGAAGAAGGATATATACATAGACAAAGAAAAATGAGTTAAATAACCAAAGAAGTCGTCATAAAGTTCATTTGGTTTTTCTCTTGTCTTTTGTTAGTAGTATTTCCAATATGCTCATCTTGGTTTATGTTTTGTCCCCATTGATGCAACTTGTTGTTTTTCAGGCTCAATAAACGAGATACTGCCTAGCTGTATACATGTCTTAGTGAGGTCCTTGCTTTTGTTATGCCATTTCTTTCTCTCAAACAAACATCAACCCTTTTTGTAGTCCTGCCTTTTCAATTCATGGGAAAATAATAGGGAATGGAGGTAAAACTAAAACTTTCAAAAGGGTCATTGTCGATGTAGAGGGTAACTAATAGTAATATGTTTCACGTTTGAAGATTTTATAATTAAAACATTTATAAGTTTTGAATTTAAATGATTTTTATATTTGAAATATACACTATCTAATCTTTTACAAACTAGATTAAACTATATGAATTTTAATGGATAGTATTTGAATAAAATTAGTTGTATGACAGGTTAGGACGTGCAGTGCAGTGGGTGAATATGACATGAACAATGTATTATAGAGGGGTGGCATTCAATATCTGACCCCATTTAAGGACACCTTTTTCAGATTTTCAGTCTCACTGCCTTCTCTCTCTCTCTCTCTCTCTATCCTCTCCCAGTCACACACGTACATATACTGTTCCATTTCTACCATATCTCATTTATTTCTCTCCCATCAACTTTCACCAATATATATATTTATTTACTACACTCAAAACCATATATTAACTGCTCCTTTCTTCTGCTTCTTCTGCTTCTTTACTTTACACACATACCCTGAGAAAATTAGCATAACTAGTAATATGAGTCTCTACAGTTCACACAAATATAGCCACAAAATCATCTTCATTTCCCTCATTCTCTTTGCTTCATCTTCTTTCTTCACTCCTTCCATTTTCACGGCTCAAGGTAATAACTAGCTTCTCATTCTCACCCTCTTTCAATATATGCAACATTCTTATTCTTAACCATCTCTATAATATTCATATTCATGCAGGAAGAACAATTTCCAATCTCAATGAACTTGCAAAGGTACTACAACTACTCTTTTATTAAAACACTTTTTTATTTTTTTATTCTAATAAGTTGGTGTTTTCTAAAGTGAGTTATTACTACACGTGTAGAATGGTGTGGAAGAACATGAATCAATTATAGTAGAAAAAATTCATATAGGGTCAAGACCTCCAAAGTGTGAAAAAAGATGCAAAAGCAAAAGCTGTGTGTATTGTGAAGCAGTTCAAGTACCTATTGTACCATCAAAAGTTCAAAACCATAGAAGCCATTATTATTCATCAGCTTATTCATCAAGAGGAGATGGTCTTTCAAACTACAAACCCATAAGCTGGAAGTGCAAATGTGGGGACAGCTTTTTCAACCCTTAGTTGACTCAAAAAAATGGAACACATCACCCTTTTTTATTTATTTTTCAATTATTATTTAAATACTTCAACCTAGCAACTATAGTATATATATGTTATTATTATTAATTAATATTTTCTCTTTTATTATTTTGACTCACACAACATCTTGTATATGGTAGATATTTGGCAACTTTAAATGCAGTACATTTTTTTTTTTTGAAAAACCAAAGAGCAATAATTTGTTGAGTGAAACTGAAAAAAAAAAAAAGAGAGAAGTGAAGAAGAAGAAGAAGAGAAGAAGTGTGTCAGAGAGTTTAGTTTTCGTATGCTACAAGATTAAGATTTTTGCATCACTATAAAGCAATCGTGCACCTCGAAGGAATAGACAGTAACATAACTAAATAGGTGTCTACTAGCCTCCCTATAGCTAGGGATCACACTAATGTTGTCACTTTGTCTTTCATATTGCTTACGTTTGTTGCATTATTAGATTAGCTGACACAAATATTTCAGTGAGAAAAACGAATCATAGTAGTAGTGATTAATTATGAAAGCAGTTTATGGTTGAGGACTTGAGGTGAGGCTAGAAAAATATGTATAAACTGCTTTTATGGTATTATACACTTTTTTAGTGTTAAATCTCATTCATATGTCAACCATTTTTTTCTTCTGAAAATATATATTGTGTTGTCTACTAGTTGTACAAATATCACTTTTTTTTTTCTTTCCAGAAATGTATTGATTTTTTTTAATGGATCAGTTCTGAATAACCTGTTCAATAGTGTATTTAAAAGAGTATATGATACATATCTTACCTTACATTGATGGAGGGAAAGAGTTAGGTGAGTCTTTTTTCTTAGTTGCATTCACTTTTATTTCTTTTCACTTTTCTACTTTTGTTTTTGATATTATTCTTTATGTGTAAATTTTTTCGATAATTATTTGAAGAAAAATAATTTTTATATTATTTTGTTTAAGTTATGAAAACAAAATTATTAGAAGAGAAAAAAATATAGTTTATAATGTATGTTTTTTCAAACATAATAATTAAAATTTATTTTGATTTATACTTTTTTTCTATAACAAATTATGTATTTTTTAAGAGTTAGTCTGATGTCTGTTGGGGGCAGGAGATAGACTTATGTTTTTGGCACTGCTTGCATTTAGACAAAAATCAGATTGGGTGTTAACTTTATGATTAAAGTACTCTTTATCAAAAAAAGGGTACGTAGCATTTTGCTATATTATCCAAGAATAGTATTATCCAGTAGACAAAGCTTCAAACTTTTATGTAGTGTATCACCAATTTGTGTATGTCTCTGATTATGTAAAGATTTGGAAGCAACATAGCCTGACGAGTGAGATTTGGAGGATAAGGTATGGGATTTGCTCAATGTTCTTCGGACAAGCTTGCTTCGAAGGATTCAGATTGGATTCGAAGTATGCTGCTTCGAAGGGAACCAATACTCCAATCGAAGCCTTGTGTGAAGGTATCCCTTATCCAATCGAAGACCTGCCTGTAGGGGGTCACTGCTTTGTGATTCCAAGCAAGCATGCAAGAGGCCTTTGCTCAAATGAAAGCTTGCATGAAGAGCCATTGTCCAATCGAAACTTGCCTGCAAGAGGTCACATGGCCACACGGAGGATGTAACCCAAACTTGCATTCGAAGGAGGCCACAAGCCCAAACGAAAGATGTAAACCAAAGCTTGCATAAAAGGGGAACACATGTCTAAATGAAGGATGTACACCAAGCTTGCATTCGAAGAAGGCCACATGCCCAAACGAAAGATACATGCAGGAGGTCCCTGCTTTGTGAATCAAAGCAAACATGTAGGATGCAAATGGTGCAATCGAAGGATGTATGCAGGAGGCCATTGCCTTGTTCTTGCTGGCATGAAGGAAGTTCCTGCCTTGTGAATTGAAGGCAAGCGTAGAGAAGACACTTATCTTCTGAATCGAAGGGCTCTAGTAGGAAGCCAACGCCTTCCGAGTCGAAGGAAAGCTGCAAGAGGCCATTGCCATGTGCACCAAAAGTCAGCTTGTAAGGGGTCATTGGTGTAATCGAAGTTGACATGCAAGCAACCATTGCATTGTGAACCATGTGAGGCAAATGGTGCAATCAAAGCTTGCATGCAGGCAGCCATTTGTCCAATTGAAGCTTGCTTGCAGGAGGTCACTGCCTTGTGACTCCAAGCAAGCATACAAGAGATCATCGCTCGAACAAAGGTTTGCATGAAGAGCCAAGTTTCAATCGAAGGTTGCATGCAAGAAGCTCATACTTTGTGAATCGAAGCCGGCGTGTCAGAGGCCAACGCTCAATCGAAGGACGTAAGCCAAGTTTGCATCGAAAGAGGCCAAAAGTCCAACCGAAGGATGTGAAATTGAAGCAGGCACGCTCTTTTTTCGATTTGATGTTTGAAAGCCAATTGTACTTGTGCAAATTTGAACTTTTGAAATTCCTTGTGGGGAAATGTCTTGAGAAATGAGAGGGCAAATTTTAGAGTACGACACAAATGTCTATCATTCTCATATTTATAGATATTTGCTTGAGTATTCTCCCTAAGATGACAAAATGTCTCTTCTCTAAAAATAAACCAACAAACAAACTTGTTCATTTTTAGAAGAACTACGTGGTTCTGATTTCATCATTGCATATTGGTGGTATGTAGGCACGAGGCTCTCGAAGTCTTGCAGAATCAAAATCATAAAAACCATTTCTTTTCTCATCTCGACAATCTTTTTGCAAACAACAATTTTTTAGACAAATACACAGATTTACAAAAAGGTTCTTGCGAAGTACGATAGATGTTTAAGTTGCTAACACATTCCCTTTGCATAACCAACCCTCGCACCTAGATATTTATTAGTTTTTGTTTTAAAAACTTCTTTGGGTTTTATTCGCTTTTTTCCAATTTCCTTTGGAAACAATAAAGTGCAGTGGCGACTTTCACTTTGTGAGTTAAGTTAATTAATAGCTTAATCTAAACTTTTCACCGCTACAATACCTAAAATATGTTGGTCTTTCCTTTTAATAATGCAATTTTGTTGAGGGGGTACCAACACAAGATGTTTGATGGATAATACCATATTGTTTGTATAAATTTGTGAGGATAAACTCCCATCCATTATCAGATAAGATGCATTTAATGGTTGTCCTAAAATGAGTTTTGATCATGGCAACAAATGACTTAATGATGGATGATGTTTTATATTTCAGTCTCATGAGAAATAACTAAGTAAATCTACATTTATCGTCCACAATAGTAAGGGAATGTCTATATTCCGTTATAAATGGTGTGGATAATGGTCCCAAATATCCATATGTACCTAATCAAAAATAGAATGCGAAACATGAAAATTGTGAGAAAGTGAGAGTCTCTTTTGTTTGGCATAAAAATATATATCACAAAGAGTAGTAGGAGAGACAAATTTGATAAAAGAAAAACATTTATGTAATTGAATCATTTCGTATTAGAAGGGTGGCCAAGTCTTAAGTGTAACACCCCAAAATAATTAGATTATTTATATAATTATTTGATTAATTTATGTTGAGTATTTGTGACTTAATTGTGATGTTTATGTGATATATAGATGATCGTGATGCTTGATATGATGTTTTGTATGGTGTATGACGGGGTGGTAGGAATTAAGAATGTACAGAGTATTTTAGAATAATTTAGATAATTACAATAATTAATTGGAATTATTTTAATTAGTTAAATAGAATAATAATAAGAGGTAGAAGCTAAGAGACAAAAGTGGTAAATTATGAATGAATAAGTGAGAGTAAGATGAGAAAACCATAGAAAGAGTCTAAAGGTTAAACTAGGATAAAAGAGTGTCAGTGTTCATTATGTACAATCGTGAAAAGAGAAGGACGTTGTGAAGAGAGCTAGGGCACGGAAGAACTCGGAGGGATTTGATAGAATGTGAAGAGAAATCAATTGCTAGGAGAAATCTAAGGTAAGGGGATTTATCGCTGTTATTAAAATTGATCTAAGGTTTAGATAATTGTAGTTTGTGTTGGGGTTTTGGGATGATGATGTTAATATAATGCTTTGATAAAAATTGATGAAATTATGATGTTTTCTTGCAAAGAATTGATGCATATGATGTATGATAATCTGTGTTATTGTTATATGATGAAACTAAGTGAATCTATGATGAATTGAGACATGTACTATAGAGAAATTATGTATAAATTGGAACTGTGTAGTGTAGAAATTGCAACAAGGAAGTCTTATTCGCGCTGCAGCATCAGGCGGTGGATATGTGTCATCGGGCGAATAAGAAGCGATGGGATGAGGGTGAAAAACATAGCTCCTGGATTTTGTATGGAGGATGGTCTGTTACTACAGTGCCGCTGAGTGATGCAGAGGCGGGAGGAGAGTGTCGGACGAGCGAGATGCAGCGTCAGGAGGCGGAGACCCGAAAGGAAAAATGGTGTTGTTGCTCTCTCATCGCCAGACAAGCTTCAGGCGAGCATCCTGCTTCGTTGGGTGAACACCAGTCGATGAACAATAATAGTATTTTAAAAGTGTCATAACTTGAGTTTAAGGACTCTGATTGACGCGTTGTTCGAAGCGTTAGGAAGCTAACACGATGAACCATACCTTGGTGGAATAGAAAGAGTAATATGATGTATTTTTCCATTACATGTACTTTGATGAATAAGATGATTCAAAGATTGTTTTAGTATGATGTATGTGTATATAATGAATTGTTGATGCTATGGTGATGTCATTTTGTGTTATAAAGTGTGTATTGATATTTATGATGATTATATGAATGATGATGAGTTTTTACTAGTAGTAGTATTTTGGTTATTAAGATGTTTCACATTATGCATTCATGGCATAAGTTAGGGCGTAGCCTAGTGATGGTTGCAGGATGTTGTTCCAGTGAGTTTTGTAGGATGAATAGTCCAGTAATGGTCTCAATCCTATAGCGTGGATTGGGTGCAATTTATGGTGTGCTCTGGTTCCAAGCAGGAATCGATCCCATTAGTATGGATCTTTGG